TCCTAGCCTGCAGTGGACCTTCTTTGGGATCAGTAGATGGGTTCCTGGACCTATACCCGTCCTTGTTCTCTGGAAACATTTATAGGTCCTTCTTTGGTGTCGGGCTTCTGAAGTCACGCCCTCAAATCTTCTGTCTTGTGAGCCTCAGTGACACCTGTGTCACAGATAGCACATGTTTATATGTTTATACCCTGCTTTTCCTTCTGGGTTTGTCACATCTCCAGCCCTGGTGAGTGCGCAGGTGACAAAATGATCATCCACAGCTGCACAGCCACAGAGGCAGCCAGGCCATGGACTACAGAGCCTGTCAGACACTGTGTCTAGAAACTTCAAACGCAAGACCCAGTGGGGGTACTGGCTGAGGGGTGAAGAGATTCCCAATACTCCTATTTGGGCCACTTCGATTCTGGAAAACAAATCCTCAACAAGTGTTTTCCTGACAGAGACAATCACTTTGTCTATCCCTACTTCTCCCTCCCTCCCTCCCTTCCTCTCTCCCTTCTTCCTTCCTTCCTTCCTTCTTTCCTTCCTTCCTTCCTTTTTTTTTCCTTTTTCTCTTCTTGACAAGGTCTCATGTAGACTGGCCGCAAACCTACCATGCACCTAAGGCTAGCTTTTAACTCCCTTGTCTCTACCTGCTCAATGCTTCCATGAGCCACGGCACCCTGCTCTCATTCCCTAAAATACTGTAACACCCTTTGCCCACCTCCCCTGGCCAGAAGGCCAAGCTGCTGAGGACCAAGCACGCTGAACTAGAAGAGATCTGCGGTGCACACACAGTTCATCCAGCAGTCTTGGGCGCCAGCCAAGTCACAGTGTTGTGCTGACACTCCGAAGGAGGAACACTGCTGCATCATGGAACCTTCACGGCTTCCTTGGAATATTTTAGCCTTACTGATGTGTATGGCCACACATCTGGCACATTCACAGCAACCCCCATAGGGAAGGAGTTGTTCATGACCCTGTTAGAGGCAAAGAAAACAAGCCTAGCAGAGGTCATCGTATCAACTGGCAAATGGGAATGCTCAGATTAAAATTTAGGTCTTTCTGATTTCAAGTAGCACGCCTTTCCTAAACAGTCCAAGAGTCCCTTTCCCAGGGACTACACGTTTATGGGAAGAGTCTCACACAAACCAGTTTAAAGATGACTGTGGCCCTTCTCATGCGATGGTGTCTACCAGCAACTCAAGGATCTAAAGAAGAAAGGAAGGAGGTTTCAGGAAAAGAAGGCAGGGTTGAGTTGGTCCCAAAGGATGAGAGGATTTGGATAGAGAAGTTGAGAATGCAGCAGAGTTCAGAAGGAAAGCTGTAGCATCCTGAACAAGGCAGCGAGCCATGCTGTGAGCTGGAGCAGAGGGACCCTGCTGGGCACAGGAGAAAACACGTCTAAAGAGCATCTCTAACACAGATGCTGACCTGTTTTTCAACCAGAGACACTGAGGTCATTCAAAATCTTAAATAAATAAATACCTAGATCCCTTCCTAGATGTACCAAATTATCATTTCTAGAGGCAGGACTCCACACATCAGTGAGTTTTTTGGATAACTAGGAAGATTCCCTTCTCCTTCCCCTGCCCTCAGTTAAGAACCCCTGCACCAGGCAACTGGGAGCTACATAGGTTCTGTACTAGTTGAGAAATAATTTAGAGACTAGGGTAGGAAGAGACCGGAGTCAGAGAACTGGCCAGAATCAAGTCTGGAAGAAGGAGCCACCAGGTGGCAAAGGTTTCCTGTCAAGTCCAGAAGGACCCAGACAAGCACTGACTCACAACCAGCTGCCCCCAGCATTATCACAGGGTAGCATGGGGTGGGGGCAGACAAGGTGAGCTCAAGCCCCAGCTTTACCCCTCCCCCCAAATAACCACATACTCTTGGGCAAGACTCCAGGCCCCTCTAAACCACAGCTTGGACACGTGTTTCTTCAGAAGGTATGGGAATTAAGGAACTCCCCATCTGAGTGTGGATATGGCACCTGTTGCAGGGTTACCGACGGAAGCGACCTGAGTTGCTCTCCTTGCAGCATCCTGTAAGGAAGCAGTTGGTGAAGAAGCCAGCTTGGGAGAAGTGGGAGGGGCAGGCAGCCAACAGTGAGCACTGAAAAGCTCCCTTTATAACAAAGTGGAGAAGAAAGAAAAGAAACCAGGACTAGAGACAGGATGGATGGGCAAGAAACAACATATTTTTAAAGAACGGGACCTGGCTTGTTTAGCAAAGAGTAAGGTTTAGCTGGAAACAAGAAAAGCAAGGTACTGGAGAGGGTGTGTCCCGAAAAAGATAGTCTTAATGTTTTCTAAATGCCACTGGAATTGGAATTGTACAGTTTGGCTTTCAGATAGCTGGCAAGTCACCAAATCTCCAGGCTACCGTTTTCTGGGCAGTCTCTCTCAAACCCTGTTCCCTCTCTGCCAGTGGCTGTATGAGTGCAATGAGCTAAGGACTATTTAATGAAAGCCATAAATGAAAAGTAGTTTACCATGGAATCTTCAGCCACAGTGCTTTCTGCCACCAGCTAGAGAAACTGGAGCCCGAAGCAATAGTTGCTTCACGCCTGAAGAATGTGAACGTGGTTAAAAATGGCATTCGCAGCCCATCAAATGCACGTCTACTAAAAGAGCACAGTAGGAAAACTGAATGGATAAATTCAGGCTTGGTATTGGGAGTCTTCCTAGGACTCAGTGAGATGATAAGATCCCTCTAAAATACACTGTTTACAGGCCAGGGAGTTGGTACGTGGGCAAAGGCACTTGGCACCAAACCTGACGATCAGAGATCAATCTCCAGGACCCACATGGTGGGAAAAGAAAGCCAGTTCCCTAAATTGTTTTCTGACCTCCACATGTCTGCGGGGCACAGGCATTTACACACACACACACACACACACACACACACACACACACACACACACAAAACAAATGAATACATATAATAAAGCATCTCAAATATAGCAGTCACAGATGTGGCAACTTCAGCAGGGGAAAGAAGTGATTTTATTTTTAACATACACTTCTTAACCACGTGGAATCAAAAAAGAAGAGAACAGGAACATCTTAGATTGAGGCCATTGGAGGACTTGCTTTTTCTAAAGATAATCCTAGAAAATCAGTCACTTTGTCCCTTAAGATACAGCAGCAGCTTGAGGCAGCTGGAAGAAATAAAACGCCAGGAAGTTACTTGAAAGCAGATTCATGATGCAACTATGTAAACATCCACTGCCTGTGACTGGGTTCTCCCTCACCACCCCCCTCACCCCGCCCCGGAATAGCGGCTGAACAGCCACTACCCTGTGTTTATGACATCTAAGGGGCTTTCTGGAAGTTTCTTTAAAAAAATGCCGGGCTGGTGAGATGGCTCAGAGAGGGGAAAGGTACTTGCAACCTAAATTCAATCTCTGGAACCCACACAACCACACATGCACTGTGGCACACATGCCCATGTACATGCATGCACACACACACACACACACATACAGAGACACATACAATCATGCATATATAAAATAATAATAAATAAAAATAGAAGTTATTTTTAAAAAGCCAATAGTTACAATCTATTAAAACAATACACCTTTTTAAGACTGATTTTAATACTTTCTCCCCTCCTCTAGCATGTGAGACTCTACTGCTGAGCTACAGATAGGATTCACTGAGAGTCTATCAGATGTTGGTAAGCTTCGCTTCGCTGTTATTCACACTACTACTGTTTGCTTTCTTTTCTTTTCTTTTCTTTTCTTTCTTTCTTTTTTTTTTTTTGGTTTTGTAGCAGAGGGTCTCACTGTGTAGCCCAGGCTGGCTTTGGTCTCACTATTTAACCTAAGCTGGCCTCAGACCCATGGTCCTCCTGCATCAACCTCCCAAGGACTACAAGTATGTACCTACCACAAAGCCTGGCCACATTACCAGTATTACCATGAAAAAAAAATAACCATTATTTTCTGAGCCTCAACAATCTCCCATAATCCTTACAATGACCCTATGAGGAAGATGATAGTTTATATCTATCTGCTTTCCTTACACCAATATTTGACTAGGGAATTTGCTTTCTAGAATCTTCTCTCTGACCTAGAGGTGGGCATTTTCTCCACTTCAGACCCTGAGTCCCATCGCTAATAAATGGCAGTGCTGGGAACTGAAGAAGAGAAAGCTGGTCTCCACTGTCTATGATTTTGCCATGAGAGTACCCCCCTCATACCTCCACAGCCCACAAGGTCTCTCTAGGAAGATCACTGACTTGGGTTGATGCAATGATCAGTGTCTTGGGTTCTCACAGCCAATCTGCACAACTCAAGCAGAGATATGTCAGGAGGGGGAGAGAGTGGAGCCATGACAAAAATCTACTGTGGATATTTCCCATGTGTCTGATGGGGTCACAAACCGCACTGATGGCTACAGAGGCTAACGAAGCAGGTCTCATCGAAAGCTGATACCAAAAAAGCCTGTTCTGAACCCTCTGAACTATGACATTTCCCAGTGAGAGAACATGGAGGTGACCGGTCTGTGTTCCTGGGAATCAGTGTGTGGGAGGGACAGTCCTACAGCCCAGGTAAGAACAGCAGAGTGGTCAAAGACTCCACGCAGTCTGCAGTTATGAAGTTGGGGGACACTGGACTCCAGCTGGTTGCCCTCAGCCTTCAGTCACTTTTCATGCCAACTGTTCCATTAGCTCAGGAAACCCACAAGTCTCGGGACCCGGGCCTGTCTGGTAGGTATTCACATATGGCTGCTTATGCTACTGCCTCCCAATCCAGTGTTCCCTACAAAGCCCATCAGGTTGGCCAGGGGAATGGGAGGAAAAATATATCCAAACTACACAAGACTGAAGCGTCGACAGCAACCTATCCTAAAGGTTTCAGACTGCCGGAGAGGGTTACCAAGAAAAGGACAGCGGAGAGCCCAACCCATTTGTCTGGTTCACTGAAATCGACGGTTCCACTCCATTCCAGCCTGCCCTCAGGTGCCAACGACAGCTAGCCACACACTTGTCAAGAAGGCGCAGGAAGCTTTCAACATGGCTGGAGGCCATCTTAGGGGTCAGAGAGACGTCTTAGGGGTCAGAGCGAGGTGCCATCCAAAGTGCTGGCACTTGGAAGATGATGAGAAACCGAAATCTGCCTCTCATCGGCCAGGTGAGGGGAATTGTGTCTAATTCTCACCTGGAACTGAGGTTCAGGATGCTAAATGATTGACCAAATCCACCTATTGTTAAGGAGCAGAGAATCTGAAACTTGAACTCCAAAACACACTGGAGGTGTAGGTGAAGTGGGGTTTCCTCTCACACCCTCGTCCCCTACCTTCTGACCATCCCTGGGGCATGGACTTAGACCTTACTCGAGTCTTCCCTTTCCACCCCTCAATAGACTGCCAGCAGAGTTCAAGACTTTTACCCCTTTTTCCCTCCCGACTGGCATCCTGACTGTATTTTGGGGACGATAGTACAGGCTCGACGCCCAAGGGACATGTTAGAACTTGGAGCTCCCTGCAGCTGCCTCTGCAAAGCCACTGTGCTGGGACACCAGAGTGGGTTCAACTTCAACTCTGCTCCAAATGGGGAAGAAAGCCAGCTACATACCCAAAGCCATCTGCAATACGGTGGCCCCAGCTCCCCAGGAAAGATTCAGCTAAGAATCCCTCAGTGAACAGAGTTGGATTCAGACCTTTGGGCAGGCAGGTAGAACCAGCTGAGAGTAAAGATCACCCTGCACGCCTGCTGGCAGGCCCTTTCCAGCTCTGCACAAAGTCAGGTCTTTGGCCAGTGCTGCGACCATCGCTGGAAACATTGCCTCCCCCAGGCCCACTCCCTACTTATCCTCCTACTTCACAAGCCGGGAGTCCTCGGTGTGCACCCACCTCCTCCACCGCGCTGCGCAGTTTGTGCTGCGTGTCTTCCATCAGCTCCTCCACCTCTCGGAACATCTCATTGAGCGTAGCTTCCTCCTGCGGGTAGCTGAGAGCCGGACCCGGCTCCATTGGAGTCCCCGTCGCCGTCGGGGCAGGAGCCGGGGCGGTGGGGACAGCCGCAGCCAGCAGCAGACACAGCAAAACGCCCCTGAGTCGCTGCATGTTTGTTCGGCGCTGGCCTCAGCCTGTGTGTCCCGGAACGCTATCAGAGACTGCAGGACCACCCCTCTGGCCCGCCCCGCCCCGCCGCTCTGCCCGCCCCCATATGAAGCGAGACCCAGCCCCCTCTCAGCCACAGGCCCTTCTGGGGATAGTGGGGCCCCGCAACCCGCTCCAGCCTGGATGCCCTCTACTACCCCCAATTCTAGTACCTAGGGGAAGCTCTACTTGCCACGCTGATGGAAATCCAGCTCCTGAACCAAGGAACCTAGGTCTCCTACGCTAACAGCGGACCTTCCCCATCTCCCCGGACCAGGGTCACCCTAGCTGGGCTACAGGTTCGAGTCCCGCCCCTTCCTTTATTAGTTCACAGTACAACTCTACTGTTGAGACTCCTTGGTGACCGACTCAGCCTCTTCCAGCCCCAAGCAGAGCTCGGCAGTGCCCAGGTCAGCCTTCTCTCCTCGCGATCCAAAAACATGAAGTCCCCACCTCTATCTACCTAGGTGAGACCTAGCTGGGCTATCCCCACGACGGTGACCACCGAGCACCCACCTCGAATGGACAAAACTGAGCGGTCACACAGAGCAGTTGGAGAGGAATCAGTATCGCGCAAGGCACGGATGCAGCCGCGCTGGTAACCAGTGATCCTGCAACCTGCTCACCTCCCCCCGCCCCCCTCTCCCGACGCACACAGCCCTCCATGCCCCTGGGGCGGTCGCACAGCCAATTGCTCTCTCTGCCTTTCGAAGTCCTGGGAGACCCGCTCTGCGTGGATTCATCCTCTCCCGGGCGAAAGTCCAGGCTTCTGCCATCTCTGACAGCCTTGAGTCGCACCTTGCTGGCTTATTTAAGCCCGCCTGTGCCTTGGATGCAGTCCTAAAGGATGGAATCCCAGCCCCTCAGCCATCACAGACTGGTCTAGACATCTCCAGCCAGGAAATTTCACATTTGGCCCAGAGAATGGGTCAACAGAATGTCAGCAAGTCCCTAGAGGGCGACATAGCAGAGTGGCTAAGACCGACAAGGCCCACCAAACTACAGTATAGTGTATAGGCTATACTTGTATGTGCACGTTCTACTTAATATGCACGACGCATGAAGAGGGATTCGGGTGCAGAAATAGGCCGTACCACTCTCTTAATGAGATTTCAACCTTGACTATTGGCAGCTATCTTCTCAGTGCCTAGGGAAAAAAAAGTGTTTTCAAGAACTTTTCTCCCACTTCTTTGGTTTTCTAGTCCCGATTCAATTCCCCGCGCCCGCCTCCCCCGTCCCGGCCACTTCCCCCTCGAGTCTTCCCCTGCCCTTTCCCCTTTCTTTCTTGTGCTGGCGAGTGTTTTTTGTTTTTGTTTTTTTGTTTTTTTTCTGTCAATTTGACACAAACTAGAGCCTCCCAGGAAAAAGGAAACCTCAATTGAGAAACTCTCTCTATTGGATTGGCCTGTGGATATATCTGTGGGGCATTTTTTAAATTGCTAACTGATGTAGGAGGTCCCAGGTAATGCCAACCCTAGGCAGGTGGGCCTGGACTGTGTAAGAAAAGTAGCTGAACAAGCCAGAGGAGGAAAAGCCAGTAAACCGCTTTCCTTCATCCTCTCTGCTTCAGTTCCTGACTCCAGATTCAGGCCCCTCCTGCCCAGGTTTCCCCTGATGACGGAGGATAAACCCTTCCTCCTAAAGTTGCTTTCAGTCACGATCTTTAGTACAGCAATAGGAAGCCAAAGAAGAACACTCCCCGTTTCTCTTCTGGGGTGGCTAGCCCACTGTGCTCCCAGGCCACTGGCTGGCTGGAGTCTTTTTGCCAGTCCCTCTCCCATCTACCCACCAGGAACCAGGCACTCCCTTGTATCTGCAGGGCCTCAGGCCTATCCGTTTGACCCCTGGGAAATGAAGGGGTCGTATCAAGAGCTGCTGGCACACCGGTACAGCGGCGTGGTCACTGAGCAAGCATTCCGTTCCAAATGCAGGCATTTACTCACTGCAGCCTTTGGAGGTTGGTGCTGCTACTTTGGGTCATTAAAAGCTGAAGGGCTGAGCTTTCTCACAAGGGGAAATCTCAGCTCTGTGACCACCATTCTTTATAGAACTGTTTTGTTACTAACAAAACTATCACAAAAAGAAAAGAGACTACGCATGACTTAATTATAAGTTCTCAACCTGCCTAGCTCTGAGCCAGCCTAGGAACAGCTCCAGGGTGGCAGCAGAGGCACTGAGCAAGCTGTAGTGATGGGCATCGCCCTGTCCAGACGTGGTCTTGGCTTCGAAAAGCTTGGAAGAAGGCAAAGAAATCCAGTGGCTCTTGTTATTTATTCTTTTGGCCCTTTAAGGGACAAGCCACGCCCACTCCCAGCGACCCCACCCCCACCCCTGCCCCGCCGTCTTGGACTCACTCTTACTGTTCTCCTCTTGGGGTTGCTCGCATCTCCCCATTTACCCCCCGCCCCGTCTCTTTCTCTCTCTCCCTCTCTCTCCCCCTGCTCTCCCTTTCCCCTTCCCCTTCATAACTCCCTGAGTAAATATTTCAATCTCACTCTACATGTTGTGTCTGCCCACATCTCTGTCTCCTGTCTGCCTGCCACAGGCCACTCAGGAACCGCCTGGATTTTTTAAAGTATAAAAGCTCTGGAGACAGGTAGAAGAGTCCCTATCTAGATGACTTTTGTGAGATGAGGGGCCTAGGGGCCGGAGCAGAGAGAGGACAGATCTGCACACACCTGTTATGTCTGGAGGAAGGAACTGTCTACAACTCCACAAGATCTATATCCACTAGGGCATCAGGGGACAGTAAGAGGTTAGTTAATTGTCTGCTGCTGGGATAAAATACTAAGGCCAAAGGCAGCTTAAGAAAGGGGGTGGTTTATTCCGGCTTACAGTTCCTGGTGAGGGGGCATGATGGCAGAGTAGAAGCAGCAGGAATAGGAAGCTGAGAATTCACATCTTTAATTGCAAGCATGAAGCGGGGAGAGCGAACTGGAAGTAGGTGGGTATAAATATATCATCTCAAAGCCGGTCTCCAGTGACCTACTTTCTCCAAAAGTCGGCATCATCTAAACCACAGTATCACCAACTGGGGACCAAGTGTTCACATACCCAAGCCTGTGGGGGGCATCTCTCATTCAAACCACCACAGGGGGGTGTTGTTTGGTCTGTCTTCTTTCGGAGTGTTGGGAGCACTTCCTGGGATAATTAAATAGCACTCTGAAGTTCTCACACTTTTCTGAGAACCAACTGTGGCATAAACATCTCATTTCATGGATGAAGAAGTGGCCCCAGCGTGGTTGTCACTCTCTAGAAACTTCCTAGAGAGTTAGAATCTGCAAGGCGGCTTTGCATCTCGCCATCCATCCATTGGAACCACGCGCCCAAGGGGGCCTGCAGGATGCTGCTCACCACAGCTCTGTCTGTGCTGGTGAGCATGCAAAGGCCACTTGCTGGCACTTTTCAGGAAGAGAGAGGATGAAATGGGGCTTTTATACACAGCACAATGCTGTGTGGCAGGAGAAATAGTGAGTGACATTTATAGGCAGCAGTGTTGCTAAGTCTCAAGAACATCATGCAGAGTGGATGATGTTTTTTTGCAGGATGAAATTCATAGACTACTGTGTGTGCAAATTTTTAAAACACAAAATAATAGCAGATGTTATCTATGGACCCTCAAATATAGTAACAAATATAGGTATAATACAGGCACGCACAGCCTGCTTCTGAGTGGGAGGCAGGGGAAAGCACACAGCAGGGTTTTTGCTTTTTTTTTAAAAAAAATGTTTCTAATATAGTCTCACTATGTGACAAAGGTGCTTTAATTCCTAATTCTCCTGCCTTCGCCCTCCAAACAAAAGGATTATAGGTGTGCACCACCGCACTTGGCTCTCTCTCCATTTCAAGCAAATTACGGTGAACGTAAGTTGGAACAAAATGGGTAGAGGTGCAGGTAGAGAAAATGTCTTCGGAAGCTGTTTTCATAGCTCAAATGAAAGAAAAGTGAGATTACACGTAACACCTGTCCCTGCAGCCACCTTCAATCCATCCTAGCCTCCAGGACATGCCAAATAAACAGAAGCCTGTGAAGCCACAGCACAATGAAGAACAGGTAAGTAGACAAGCAAGGGTCGGGGACAAGGAGATGCTGGCCTCTGAATGGTCAAAGCTAACTCTTCATCAAGTACTTGAAGGACCACCGTCCTGCTCTACCTCAAAGCGTTAGGGGTGGGGATCGGGTTGTGATGACACCGGTGACCTCCTCATTTGACTAAACCAGCGATGGATAGCTGAGCCAAGCTGGACCCGTTTCTTTCTCTCTTGAACTTGAGGCTGAAGAAACCATCCAAGTGAGGAAGAGGGGAACTCAAGTGAACTCACAAGCCTGAGGGAGAAGGGAGAGAGAGAGGAGGAAGAGACATCACCCTAGTCGTTGGCTCTGGTTTCTTATGAATCTTCCTGAAGTATGGCTGAGCAATCTGTCCTTATATATTCTTCAAGTCCTTGGGGGAATCGTTCCAGGATCCCCACAGATACTCAGCCCATTAGAAAAAAAAGTGTTGTCTTTGCATATAACCTGTCCAATTTGATGTATATTTTATTCTCCTTTCTTCCTCCCCTTTCATTTATTTACTTACTTGAGACTTGGTCTCATGTAACCAAGACTTCCAATTCACTAAGTGGCCAAAGGGGACCTGAAGTCTTTCATCCTCCCAAGCGCCTGGCTTACAAGTGCTTTCTTCCATTTTAGTGAAATGGTTCTCCTCAAGGTAGTCTAACATCACAGGCGTTGATGCCCCCCTTAAGATTGCTCGAGCTGAGCAGCGACACACCACCAGGAGTGATTTGCTTCCCCTCGATTAGCCGGCCTGTGCTTGGCAATGCCAGCCACACCGTTTCCCGGAGCCGTCCCAGAGCCTGCCTGTAGCATACAATTGTTCAGAAGAAACTGGTGCCAAGATTTTTCTGAATGGAAACTCCATCTGCCCTTGGAAAGATGGAAAGAGTGTCCACATGGACTCAGGGTTTCCATGAGCAACAGCCA